GACGGTTGTGCCACCCCCTCCCGCTCGGCTCCAAGGCTCACTTGGATGCCATAATTCCGCGTAACGACTGCGTTTTTCTTCTCAAAGCGTCCCAGGAATGAAGTTCCGAATCTCAGACTCGGCCCTGGCACATCCAGTAGCTTCCGAAAGCTCCAGTTCTAGAACAGCGTATGTGCTCATGAGCTCGCCAGGAGTGTAACAACGGCGTTGCACCGCGGCTGCAAGCTGCTGCGGATGACATGGATTCCTTCTAGAGGCTGAAGTTAAATCTCTAGCTGTCGCCCCATTGTCTAAAGGAGACACTCATCCTCGCTCTTTATGAGTTGAAAACGGTCATTTGTACCGCCAATTACCGCTGGACGCGGCCTATGGCAAAAGCTGACGTGAAGGGATCCTAACCCTAGCCTGAGAGTCAGCGCTTGGCCGGCGCCTCTCGGAGCACCAATTATTTCATCCCGTCCCCCCCTCCTTTCCGTGTATTTGTTTATTGTCACGCTCGCTCAAAGCCAATTTCCTTTCTGGATAACATCAATCCTCGGATCTGCCTGATGGCGGGGTCGATTCTCTCTTCAAATCTTGTGATTCTGTGCTTTCTGTTGGCAACATTGACCTCTCCACCCCCAAGGGCCAAATTTACCACTCCCAATGGAATAAATACTCTCTCAATATATTAATCCTTCAAAACATCCTCCGCCATATTCATCTGAAACCGCTTGCGTCCTCGGTGATTGCCTGGATGACCCTGCCGCTTGCATCAGCGGCACTCTTGGCACCGGCGGTGACGAAGGCAGGATGACTAATCCCTGGGTAGGACAAAAAGAAATTGTCCAAGGAGTGGCTGATTTTTTTCGAAGTCAAGATGTACAGTGTAAGGCCGAAAATGTTAGTTCAGTGAAGTAGCCCAAGTCCAAGAATCGTACCACCGACGGTACGGGGAGCAGAGAGCGGGCCGCCGTCCGTCCTGGAAATTTACGCGACGAAGGGCCGTAAATACGGTTACGCTCCCGTACCGTCTCGCGGATTCCACCAATGAAAAGCAGCCGTTTTCCGACGGGTTAGAACGGGTTGGCTCTGTCTCATCCGTTAGTACCTCCTTTGCTCATCAATGTTTAAAAACGGTAAATGGACTGGTTTTTGGCCAGAAAAAACTCTCGTCATGCTCAGCAGTCCTCTGTGGGACATCACTTACGGGCGTCACGCACGGTACGGGACGGTTACGGGTCCCAAATGGCCGTAACGTACCCGGGGAATTTTCTTACGGCTACGGGCGCATTTGTTACGCCCGTCAGCGTATTACACACGGTTTGATGCCCTGGTCGCCGTTTCAGCCTAAGCGAGTCGCGAATGAGCCCGACATTCGTCGGCCGAAGACAACAGGCGGGTTATAAGGAACTCCTTCAAATGCGTGACACAGAAAATAGAACTCAGGGGGGTCAGTGAAGGGAGCGGCTGGGAGCGTTTGTTACGGCGGTGTGGCCGGCCAGAAGCTCAGGTAATACGGATGACATGGCCCGGTGATCTTATTTGCCGGGATCTAATTAGACTAATCAAACTACGACTCCCCTTTGGTACGACAGCCGGACAGCATGCATTATGGATTTTAGCGCTTTGTCTATTCAAACGAAAAGTCTAGATGACAGGTGGAGTCTAGTGCATCCGTTCAAACTGTCATATCTGGCATATCCAATGCACGAGTATCGCGGAGCTGTTCGTCCCGCGCAAGTATAAATCACGACGGCGCCCGAACGCCTTATTCACCTTGGGCCGTATCGTGCCCAGGAAAATTCATGGCCCCGATTGCAACTGCTGCGGTTCTAGTTCACGCGGGCGATCTACTACAGGGCCTGTACGAAGGCTTCGCTTCCGGCGAGTTTGCATGCAATGCATCCCGAGACGATGTTTTGCTACAAGAGGCCTCCCTTGCGATGCTCCATATGGCCTGGACTGTCACAGTTCGACGCTGGGCAGGCACCGATACCTTCTGCGTTGGCGGAAACTATTCTAGCGGCGTCTGTTACGTGCATGATCGCAACATCCCAGACTCGACGGTGCTCAAGTTGAATCCCGAAGACACCCTGCCGGAGCTTTTCCATCAGCTCTCCAGCGCCATGGCCGCCGGTGCGCCGTGTTCGTCGCACCAGGTCTCCAGCCGGAGTCTTGGCAACTACAGTACCACAATCTGCCTCCCCGGGAGTCCGAAACCGAGGCGGAAATATGAGGCCCTGGAGAAACTGCCGCAGGTATGTGAGATCATCTGCTCGAAGCGATCTCCCTTTCACCATTCCCACAGACCAGTCTTCGTCTTGAATTCTCCCCACTTACAGAGACCACCGATCAATGGCTGGTGCATCTGCACTGCGAGGAATCTGAAGAGCCGTCCTTGACGCCCGCCATGGGCGCCAGTCTGCTGCACAGTTTCAACCAGGCGCTAACCTCGATCGTGGAATCCCCAGCTCAGACAGTCGATTTCGTCAGCATCTGCTCAGAGCATCATCTGGCTCAGATCAGTGAGTTCACCAAGAACATCTCCCCGTTCAACAACACGCTGCTGCACGACCTCTGTCTTCGACACGCCAAGACGCAGCCGAATGCCTATGCCATTGACTCGTGGGATGGCAATCTCACCTACGCGGAGTTGGACGACCTCACTTCGCGCCTAGCCCACCATCTCGTCCTCCATGGTGTCCGTCCGGAAACATATGTGCTCTGCTGTTTCCCCAAGTCCACCTGGGCCATCGTCGGCCGGCTGGCTATCCTCAAGGCCGGCGGCGCCTACATCTCCCTCGATGCCAGTGACCCCCCTTTCTACCTGGAATCCATCGTCACCCGAACCCAGACGAGCATTATGCTCACCGCACCCGAGTATGTTGCGCGGTTCCGGACAGTGGTGCCTACCGTCGTCGAGGTGACTCCATCCTTTCTGAGCCGTCTGCCGGTTAAGAAGGGTGTTGCCTGCTCCGATGTGAGGCCAGATAGCCCGTGTCTAATCCTCTTCACCTCGGGCAGCACGGGAACACCGAAAGGCATTATCCAGGAGCATCGATCGTACGCGACAGCCATCGCCGACTACGTGGTGATGCTAGGCCTCGACGCTTCCAGTCGTGTGCTCCAGTTCGACGACTACGCGTTCGATATCAGCAACAACGACTATCTGGCCCCGTTGACAGCCGGCGGCTGCTGCTGCGTTCCCACCCCCGAGAAAACCATCCCCGCCCTGCGCGAGAACATCAACGCCCTGCGCGTCAACATGACCTTCTTAACCCCCACCATCGCCATCCAGCTGGGTCCGCGCGACATGCCCACGCTGCGGACGGTGTGCATCGGCGGGGAACCTCCCTCTCGCGATCTCCTACGCCAATGGTCCGGACACGTCCGCCTGATCAACCAGTATGGCATGGGCGAGGCGGCTACCTTCTGTGCCTACAACGATCGCCTCCATCCGGACCGCAATGGAATCGTCGGGCGTGCGGGCAGCGGTGCCATCTGGATCGCGAGCCCTGCATCACCCGAGCAGCTGGTTCCTGTTGGTGCTGTGGGCGAGATCCTCATCGAAGGCCCGCATCTCGCGCGCGGATATATCGATGGCGTCGCCGCCAAATCCGACGTTGGGTTTCTCTCCCGCCCGCCTGCTTGGTTGCACCGTATCCACCCGCGCCGTGGCCCGACCCGCGTCTACCGCTCGGGTGATCTGGGCAGGTACTGCGCCGACGGCACGGTGGAGCATCTGGGTCGCAAGGACACGATGCTCAAGCTGAATGGGTGTCGAGTCGAGTCGGTCGAGGTCGAGAGCGTGCTTCGCCAGTGTTTATCCGACGAGGATGCAGTGGTCGTCGATGTATTGGGCACGATGGGCTCTGCTGAAGAGCCCGTACTAGTGGCGTTTGTATATGTCGCGCCAGGATCGGCGCGAAAATCCGGCGTCGACATCAACATCCAGATTATCGACGAGGATCACTGGGCGTATCCGCTCGTGCGAGACATGAACACGGTGGTCGAGGCGCAACTGCCGCATCACATGATTCCCTCGTTGTTCTTCCTTGTCGACCGCATTCCGCGCACCAAGTCCAATAAGACGGATCGCAGACGGCTGCACATGTATGGACAAGAGTTCTATATGGCGCAGAAGCTTTGACTTGTCAACCCGTGGGTGTGGATGTCCTTTTGCACGAAGGACAGTAGTGTATCCGTGCATACTATAATTCCGCGGCCAGAAACTTACACGTAATTCATACTAAATATATATATGTGCGAACTCATCTAAACGGGTCTGATCTCGTTTCTCGCACTGGGGAATTTTCCGTGGCCGCCGAAAGTAGCTCACAGTCAGACGGGACTTCCCAGACCAACTCGAAAATACCGAGACATCCAGAAATCGGAGAGACGACTTCCCGGTTAATCCTCGTGCGACCATGAAGATTATGGACCGCGAACAACGACAACGGCAGAAATGTGCGCGTGTTCAGAATGATCGTTGGAATCGATGTTCCATTATTGTACAATCCAAGCGTGCGCGTTTTATTGCTTGCAGGAGTACAGACATGATGACAAGTTTGCCTATCTGGAAAACACGAGCGAAGCACCAAAGATACGGCGAATGCGAACCTACTCTCCGATGACTTGGTTCCTTGGTTCCTTATCTCCTCCAGCTCATCCCATTCAGGAAGTCCAAACATGGCCGGCAGCCCCCAATCCAAAATATCGCCTTCGCCGTCTTGTACATAAGCCGTACCCCAGATATGGGCGATATACTGTGTAAAAGGGGCGTTGCCCTCCCTTTGGTGTAGGAGAAATGAAAAAAGGCAGCTATCATTCGTACATGCCCCAGCGGGGAATCACACCCCGCCTCATCGCTGTATCACCAGTTCCTCTTACAACTAGTCGGCGTATGTACCATGCATCACCGGTGTCTCCTGCCTCCCATGCCATCCTCATCAGCTGAATACCTCTGGCCGCGCTTTGCGGCGGCGCGAGGGAAAAAATTCCACTTCACGCGCCATGCATGCACCGGCGGGGAATCGAACCCCGTCTCGCCGCGTAAAAGTCGTGGCGGTCATCAGTTCAGCGCGTGTTCCATACACCACCGGTACTCCCTGGCTCTCTTTTCAAACTGGTTAGGCGGATCCTCAATTCATTGTTGTGGGAGTTGCAAAAGAGATGCCACAGTTCCTCCATGCACCGGCGGGAATCGAACCCCGTGTTACCACGATCAATTCACTCGATCTCTAATGAGGAATGACGGTGCGTGTTCCATACACCACCGGTGTTTCCTGCCTCACTTTTCAACCTGGTTAGGTGTGCCTTTCTTGTTTCTGTTGAGCCAGTACTGCGCCGAGAAAAACAGCGACATGCAGGCCATGCACCGGCGGGGAATCGAACCCTATCTCACCACTATGATTCATACCCGTCCAATGAAAGATGGCGTGTGCTTTATGCACCACCGGTGCTTCCTACCTCTCGTTTCAATTTGCTTAGAGGTTCCTTATTTCGTCTGTGGGGCTGTAAAAAAGGTCTAATTTTCCCACGACCATGCACCGGCGGGGAATCGAACCCCGTCTCACCATTACAATCCTGAATTGCCATAAGCGCTCAGTGTGTGCTCCATATACCACCGGTGCTTACTGCATCCCCTACCAACCTCGTCAGGTACATTTTCATTCTACCACAATTTGGGCGACCCAGGCAAAACCGAGCCGACAATTGTATGCACCGGCAGGATCGTTCAGATATAAATCACGGTGTGCGTGTTCCATACACCACTGGTGCTGCTTATCTCTCCACCCATCCGAATAGGTCTGTTGCTTTCCACGCTGGTGTGGCAGAATGTAAAAAGGACCCGCAAAATGTGCCACATGCACCGGCGGGGAATCGAACCCCGGCTCACCGCTGTAGCACCAGTGTTTCCTGCTACAAAACCGATTTGTGCTCCATACACCACCGATGCTCTCTATCTCTTTCTGCAAGCTGGTCCAGTGCTTTGTTCAATTTGACTGACGTGGCTCGAAGGACTTTTTAAAAATGCGCCATATTGCTGCAGCCCTACTTATGCATCGGGGGGGATCGAACCCCTCTCACCGCCATCAATGTGAGCTTCATGCATGAAGGATGAAGAAATGACAGTGTGTGTTCCATACATCACCGGTGCTTACGGCTCTCATCAGAGCCTCGCTAGGTCTGTTCGTCTTGCAATTTTCTGTGTGGCCCTTCGCGGCGCTGGGAAAAAGCTCTTTGGCAGCTATTATATGCACCGGCGTGGAATCGAACCCCGTCCCACCATGATCAATGTGTTATTCATGCACGAATAATGAATGAAGGTGTGTGCTCCGTACACTACCAGGGCTCTCTCTTTCTCTTCATCGCCTCGGCAAGCCCATGCACATCTTGATTACGCTGGAAAGAACAACGTCCTTGACACCTGTACATGCACCGGCGAGGAATCGAACCCCAGCCCACCACGATCAATCACACCGTCAATCAATAAATGGTGGTGCGTGTACCATACACCACTGGTGCTCTCTATCTTTCTCCAACATTGTTCTGTTTCAATCTCTGTCGAACCATGCTAAGAACAAGCCTCTAGCCACTTGCTCAACCACATTCACCGGGGGATCGCAGAGTGACTGCCTTCAGCGCCTGAGATTGAGAAACACCAGACATCGACTGTCTTTAAATTTGATTAATCTCATGGAGCTGAGTGTGAAATATCCAACGCTGCGACGCTGCGAGGCGCGTTCCGGAGCGGGTCGGCGCATGTTGTTGCAATTGCACGTGGTCGGCAACCGCCGGATATCACGTGTCAATGATAGATGCCGGCTTGATCCGTGTCTCCTTCTCACCACCGTCTGTCCGCCTCCGCGCTGCGCTTATTTCCGCTTCGATGAGGCCTCAATTGTGCGTTCGACGTCAATCCCGTCAACCTAACCCTGGCCAACTGCGTGGGATCCCACTCCCACACCGTTTGTCTGGATGCGAGTGTCGTCCGCAACTCAAGTTTGTGTGTGTAGAAGGCAAGACACGGTGACATCGCACCACACGAGCTCCCTACCTACGCAGCCGTCTTTGACTACCCGTACCTTCACGCACCGCACGCGTATCTCCACTCCTTCGCGCGGCGGACGCCCGTGGGGAATGCGAGCACGGCGGGGTTGTTGAGGGATAGGAGGTTTGGCAATTTGCGGGTGCTGCCCTTTCCTCCGTACGCCTCCCCCCCTTCCCTCCCCTTGCTTCGCCCGCTAACCCCGCGCAGCCCACCCTGCGCAGCGAAACCATCCGCCGTGCCTAGTACGCGCCCCTCCTCAACCGTACTCCTCTCCGCAGCCGCCTCTCCCCGAGAAGAGCCCGGGGCCTTTGCCCGACTGCCCCCGCTCGCTCGCGCCTGGCACGGCTCGTATCTGTCAGCGACGGGCGCGGCTCGTACTCGTCGGCGACGGGCCCTTCGGCGTCGAGCTGCAGAGGCTGTGTGGGGTGAGTGGCAGAGGCTGTGTGCGGGGTGGAAAGTGCAGGCGGTGTTCATGGGGCAGCTGGAGGGGAGGGCGAGGAGTTGGGCGAGCCATTCGCTAGTGCGGGTGTGTTTTCATGTTCGATTTTGTTTCGTCCCCCGTGTTGCGCTGTCCTCTTTCCGCTCTACCCTCCTCTCCGCGTCTGCTCTGCACCGCTTTATTCCCTCCTCCTTCCCTCCCTCGCCTTGCATTGTTGTCGTTCTGTGGAATGATTTACCAACGGTGCATACATTCCCCTCGCCGCGCTTCCATTCCAGTCGGCTCGATTCTATCCTCCGTCCCTCCGTGACGCCGCCTTTATATTCCATTCCACCCTCCTTTCTTCATTTCTGCTCTATTTATTCTTCTCCTCCTCCTTCACCGCCCTTTTCCCCTTGACGCCATTACGCCGTTACGCCGTTACGCCGTTCTGCTTATGTGGAACGATGTAACACATCCCATTCCATCCCCGCGTTATTCTATCAGCTACTCCCTTCGATTCTATTCTATCCCCTGTCTCCCCTTCTTCCCCTTCCGTCGTGTATCCCCGTTCTATTCCCTCCATGCGTTGTTCCGCTGCCATTGTGGTTGGCCGCTGGCGGCGTCATCTCATCTCATCCCACCCCACACCGTTCCTTTCTATCCCATCCCATCGGATCCCTTGGGTCGTTCTATGTGGTGGGGACGCCGGCGTCGTGCCATTCCATTTGACTCCCTCCCTTCGTATTCCGCTGTGTTCTATTCCCGCCCCCCGTCGTTCTATTATGTCCTATCCTTCTATTCAACTCCGTTCCTTTCTATCCCTCCTCCCTCCCCTCCCCCTCCGCTGTTCCGCCGACAGTGACTGGTGGTACACACACTGGTGGCGGATGCGGCGTATATAATGCTGCCGGGACGGGATTTGCCAAAAATCCGAAGGGATGGACGATGCACCCGCCGAACCCCATCTCACCACTAACTCTGTGTCATCATCGTCGAAATAATACGGCGCATGTTCCATACACCAGGGGTGCTTGTTGGACCTGATATCGTCAGCCTCGTTGGGTGCGCTGGTATTTCGAAAGTGTCCACGATTTCTGCGGGTCTTGGTGAACTCTGAAAAGGTCTCTACATATATGATAATGTACCGGTGGGGAGTCGAACCCCGTCTCACCATTGCGATTGGTATCGACCCTTCATTCCAATGAAAAGGTGCAAAGGTAGGCGCGGCGAGCGCGGGTTGGACCTGCGTTGATTCGTTGCCCACAGCACGAGTCCTCCGCGCGTGCGCGGACCAGCTTTCGTAGCTCAGTAGTCTCCCTTCTCGCCTTTCTTTTTGAATAAATTCGACCTGCGAGACGTCATTTGGCACGAACGAACGAATGAATGCGCTGCAAGCAAACTAACTCACCGGCATCCGCAGCGTCCGCACGCTCTCGCGCGATTGAGCGAGACGCACGGTGCGGGCCGTATCCATTCCGTCTTAACGCCACCGCACAACTGCGCCACCTTCAGTCCGGAACGCATCAGATCCCCGCGTTCCGAAACTCGAGGTGCGTTACGCCTTTCCCCCTCCTATCTTTTTTGCACCATGCCTTCGGGCGCGACTTGCGCCGCCATCGCGCTCGCGGCGCGCGTAGTTCGGGTCGCACGCGCACTCTGGAACTCCCGAGCGCGTAACATCGTCGGGCAAAAGACCGGGAGCGTCGTAGGAAGCATGTGCGGCAGCAGCACATGTGAGATGTAGGCGCGGTCGGATGATTTCGAGTCGGTCGCGCTGACAGAAGGTGTTCCCAAATGTTTTCTTCCGAGAACAAAGGAGGGTTGGCATAGATTAAACTGTGTACATCCCCATGAAATCAATAAAGGTTTCTCCTAACATTCTATTTGGAGTGATTTAGCTGAGAAAGGGGCGAGAACCCATCGGTCAGTCATTTTTTCCACATAGTATACGAGCGAATATTGTGGTACCATCCGTTTATAAGAGATTAATTCCTGGTACCGATTTGGGACCAGGTCTCTGTCCAAAAATTCAAAAAAGCGGTCAGCACGTGATAATTGTGGTTCCAGAGATCCCGACACGGACACTCTTGATCCGGTGGAGACGGCCGGACTGACTCGAAATTGCACGAATATGAAATGCACGTCGTAGTCCCGTGCAAGGTCCGCTGCAACCGATGCTGCCTCGCGGCGGCGCCTAACTAATCTAATCTAATCTGATCTGATCTAATCTAACTAACAGAACCGGTTCCCCGAATTATACGCCGACCTAATCTCAAATGTGAACTGTGGCAAGTGTCACGCGTTACCGCGGTCGGTTGTTGAATGGTTTTTCCGGTTCAAAAATTGCTCAGAAATACTTCTTCTACTTGGAAAGTTCGCCAAAAGCGCTCCGGAGGACGGTCTACACTCGAAAGAAGCAGATCTAGTTTTCTTCCCATATTTGGGACCTCGCTGTCAAAATTTCGCCCCGTGTGACGGACAGCTCGGGGGTTGTCCAAGTGTCGAATTGGTTGAAATTGTCACATGTCACCCCCCTTGTCTAGTTGAATGAACAAATACAGTATTTGTGACGAGCGGTTCACCCCAAACTCCCTCGGCCAAGCAAGCATGCATCTAGATACAACGCCGAGTCGGTCATTAGGGTCGTTCACAGTAGCCCTTTTTCACTCTCTTTTTCACTCCCTTTTTCTGTTCCTTTTTCCAGACCAATGCTTTCAGTGCAAATGGTTGATGAAAATAATATTAGGGTTGGATCAGACCTCGAACTGAGTGCCCAAAGTGCTCTCCGATGTCCCAGTAGTAATCAGATCTTCCAGCTCTGCATGAAACACACAGTATTGAGAAAAGGAATGAAAAGAGGGGCCAAAAAGGGCAGAAAAAGGGAGCTTCCGAGGGGGGGGTTTCACAGTAGCCCTTTTTTCTTCCCTTTTTGGCTCCCTTTTTGTTGTATTTCGCCCCCTTTTGCGTTTGGGTCCCTGATTTTTTCCCTTTTCAACCCTTTTTCTATGTCTAAAGTGAAAAGGGAAAAAAAATCCGGCAGAAAACGGACCAGTCTCAAAAAGCGCAGAAAAAGGGAGAGAAAAAGAGAGAAAAAAAGGGCTACTGTGAACGACCCTATTGATCCCTCCCAGCCACTGAGGTAGGTAGGGTGCGGGTAAAACCCGGTCGGGCTGGTTTGGGTGCGGGTCACGAGACCTTGGACCTGCGCAATACCGTGACCCGAACGTATTTCGGGTGTTTGGGTAACTTCTGCTCAAGCCTTTGTGTTGCCTGAGGACATAGAGGGAAATCATGTCCTGGGAGCAACACACAAGACAGTTCATTGAGACCCCTCCCTTCTGATTTCTAGAAGCATGGTGGTCTGCTGCGGATGGACAGGAGTTGATGTGTGTCCCGTCCATTGAGCCGATGGCATCCCGGAAGAAGGGGAAGAATTTAGAGTTGGATTGACTAGGTTTGGGAATGGGGTCATCGATGGTAGGCAGGCGAACATAGCGGTTGTAAAATGGCGGTGACACAATGGCAAGCAAAACACACCGGAAATACCTGCAACAAAGGTCAGTAGATGGATCAGGACATGAAAAAAAATGGAGTCACTTTGAGACTGTCTCATTTGAATGCTGGAACCGCTCACCAATGTGCCGGATGGAAAGTCCAGTGACACAGGTGTATAGAGAAATGGCGACTTGTTCTTCGACCATCACATGTCGGGATTCCCTCAACTCGGTGAGAGCTTGGAGCTGAGCCACTAGAGTCAGGAATACATGCACCCTCATCCCCAGCTCCGATTTATCCTATCTGGATGGCCGACGAATTACACCTAGTTCGTCAAGCCATACTCTTTCGCTAAGCGCAGATGTGTGATATTCTTGCTCTCAGTACAAGGGGCTGGTATAGAGGACCACAGCCAGATGAATCATGTGCCAAAAGGAAGCAGCAGCCAAGATAATCCGCATATGGAATGCGTTCAGCGGTATAGGGGGATTGGTGCGTCTAAAATTGATTGTCTCGCTGAATCACGCTGATATTGGCACCCGCTCATATCACGACTAT